TAAACAAAATTATAAAATATCATGCCAGGAATTTTATAAATATCTTAATAACGACGGTAAACGTTTAGTTCCATTATTTAAATCTCAAATAAAATATAATTAACTATAACTATTTGACTTTCTATATTTTATAAAATCTTATTTATACATTTGCATAAAATCAAATAAATTTATTTTTTACATTGTAAAATTAATATTTTGAATATTTTGGCAAATCATAAAAATAAAGAAGCATTACAATCTCCTCAAACATGACATCATATTAATCTTATTAATAATTACGATAATAGTAATAATATTCTTACTTTGGTATTTCTGCAGCATAATTTAGTGAACCTTTATTAAATTATATTCTTCTGATTGCAACTGCATATTAACAGCATATAGTAGATTTCTTATATGTAAAATTCCTAAATATACTTCTGCCATTTATTTTTGAAAATTTTTTTCAAAATATTAGGACAGCTTTTATAATCTATTTATTTTTTAAAGGTTTGTAAAATTTTAAAATATCAGTAGAAGAGCATTATAAAACAAATGTCCCCTCTCTTAGACACATTTATAACCCAAATAAATGTGGTTTTAATTCACCATACAGCACTTACAAATCCGCAGATTTTACTTCCACAAAAGCTTTTCTAACCTTTTTCAGATGGTGATAGAAAAAAAAAAATTTGTTAGATTTTTATCATGAAGATGTTAAAATATCTTATGATGCCTTATTAGCTGAATACCTATGATTAAAAGATTAACTATGGTTGATACAGTCCAAAAAATGCTATGGATGCTTTGCATTATTTCATACACATTTTAGATTATATTCCCAATTTATTAAAATGGTTATATATATATTAGCAACTCTTCCCATTAGTAAACTGATGAGAGAACATTCTCTTTTTTAAGAAGAATAACAGAGCCCTGTAGAGGTACCATTTGCAGGGCACGGCCTAGATATTTTTTTTAAAATTTTTTTGGTCCGGGTTTTTTTAAAAAAAATTCAGGCCCTGCCCGGCTTTTTTGCAGGCCCGGCCCGAATTTTTGATTTTTGTAGCTAATAATGGTGATTTCAAATATTTGGTTTTAAAATATACAGCTCGGCCCGGATATTTTTTTTGAAAAAATTTTCAGGCCCAGCCCAGGTGTTTTGTTTTTAAAAAATTCAGGTTCAGCCCGGGTATGTTTAAAGAAATTTAAATACGGTCCGACTCGGGGGCCGGGCCTGCAAGTCTCTGAAATACATACCTATGAAATACAACTTCTAAAAGTAGATTGAATGATTTGGATCTTTTGAATATTCATAGGCATTTAACGCCAAGCAAGGATAGATAATTAAAAAATTAGCTCAAAATATACAAAAAATTATTCCTAAGAAACTTTTTGTGTATTAATTTATATTTCCAACATTTAAATTTTTTATACTTATATTTTAAAGGCTCAAAAAATTCACACTTTTGGGTCATATAAGTGATTCATATCGTGGTTATATTCACTTTATATTTTATAATTTACATTTATTTTATAGTTTTTCAATGCCGGTTTATATATATAATTTTTTTGTAATTCACATTAATTTAAAATTGTGTATTAGAAAAGTTATTAGTCCTAATAAATTTATGCTTAGTATTTTAATTAACAATAATATTTCTTAAAAAATTTTATTATCCCCCCCCCCCCCCAGACCAAATTCCTGCGTACGCGCCTGAGCGATTGCATTATCCCGATTGCAGCAAAAGTATATCGCAAATTCATCAAAACGAATGTATTAGCGCGAAAATAATATGGCGAATGTATTACCGCGAAAATAATATGGCGCGAAGGTATTATCGCAAATATGGCGAAAATATTAGGGTGAATACATTAGCACAAATACATCAGCATAAATGAATTATAGTGATTGCAAATGAATTGCCTCAGTTGTAATATCGGGAATGCAGTTTGGTGAAGGTTACATTTTTATATTTATCGGTTGACAGATTCAGTGGAATGAAAATTTTCCTCAAAAATATTGGCGATCATTATTTTTAAACGAAAACGGATTTTTTGGAGTTAAAATGATTGTTTTGTAGTTAAAATGATTGTTTTGTAGTTAAAATGATTGCGATGAATGCTAAAAATTTCAGAAGCAAGAAATCCTATCTCTCTTTCTATTTTGTGTTATTTTTAAAATATAATTTCAAATAATAAAAAATTTGAATCCTAAATAATGTTTAAGTAAAATAAATATAGATAAGTTATTATAGCAATAAAATTTGGTAATGGGGAAAAAATAAATAGAGGAGATCAGTGCTAGTCGTCACAACGGGCTTACCAGGTCAGCGAATGTTTTGCATTAATGATCTGCATCAGGCCTAATTTTTCTAGCCCGGCCTTAATTTTTTTATAAGGTTTTACCCGGCCCGAACTCGAGATTTTTTTAAAAAAATTTTGCCGGCCCGAATTTATTTAAATTTTATAATTAATTAAAATAAACGATATATGTTATATGGCGTCTACTTTCTATAAATAAAATCACATATTTTTATTTTAAAAAATTCAACAAATTGATTAATTTAGATATATTTTAAAAAATTTCTAAGATCCGACCCGGCCCTAATTTTCTTAAAAAATATTAAACCCTGCCCGGCCCAAAGCCCGAGCCTACTCTTGCAGATCTCTATTTTGCATTATAGTTTATAATAAAGGAAAATATTATTTCGTAAAAAAGGCGAGAGGCAATAGCCCAACTTAATGGGAACCCTTTTAGCCCATTTTTGAATAAATAAAAATATGAGGGTCTTGTTATTTTTCTCAAATATTTGTATATTTTTAATTTTCTTAATAAAACGATTCAATCTAGTCATTAAAATATTAAAATAATTAGAGGATATTAAATGCCATAAAATTTTTAATAAAATACAAAATTACATAAAAAGCAAGTGACCCGCAGAATCATTAGGGTGGGCTCACAGGGGCTCTAGCCCCCTAAAAATTTAAATAGCCCCCTCAAAATTTTGATTTTTTTTATACCACTAAAGAAAAGGTAATTTTAGATAATGAAGATAATAGATCTAAAAATAAGAAGTTAATTTTGAAAATAATTAAGAAATATATTTTTGAACCCCCTGAGATCGTAAAGGCTAGTGACGCCCCTGCAAGTGACGTATTTTAGAGTTATAAAACGCCACATTTATTTGAGCCACCCAGTATATATACATTTCATTATATTGTATCAACACATAATATCCATAAAATATTTTCAAATTAAATTTTAATTAAAACGAATTATAGTAAATTCTTGACTTTAATATATATAAGTATAAATATACAAAATAAATATAAAAAGGTAAATTAGGCTGGGTCTCTAGTTTTTTGAAATAACTTGTTAAATGAGTTAGAATATAGCAATAGAGAGTTTAAAGAATTTCTTTCGGGAAAAAGAGCTCCGATGAAGAATAATTATGGGCCTTGCACTCTGAAAAAAAGGTTACAAAATTTAGTTTCCGAAATATTAAAAAAATATAAATAGATTATGATAAACTCTTTATAATAAAGTAGAAAAAATGTAGAAGACAAGGGAATTTTAATACTTTATATTAATTAAATAAACTATTAATTTATATAAATAAAAATATTGCATTCGCTATAATGCATTCGCGGTAATACATCCGCCATTGTGCATTCGCGGTAATACATTCGATATAATGAATTTGCGATATTATTTTCACTATAATACTTTCGCTCTGATGCATATGCACTAATATATTCGCTAGCGCGGTATTGTTTTCGTCTAATATATTCTCCTTAATGCATTTGCGATAATGTTTTCGCGTTAATGCATTTCTTGTAATGGATTTACGTCAATACATTCGCTAAAATATCTTTTTGCGGCAATCAATATTCGCGATAATACATTCACGGTAATGCATTCGCGATAATAAATTTAGCCATTATGTTTATTTTTGCATACAAGATTAATAACAATTTTAAAATAGTTGGAAATAGATATTCTCAAATATTGGTGATGAGAATATTTATTTTCTTCTACTTTTGAGGGTTAGGGTTGGACTGGAATAGCCCCTTTAATTTTTTTATTCTTATCTGTATTATTCACATCTTTTATCTCATTAAATTTAGGGAATACTTTGTTTTTAAATAAAAATGATAGGTTTTAACCCACAACTCATAAATATTTTTTAATAAATATGGTAATTGTAAATTACTTTTTATATTCAAGAAATTAATTTAATTATACAATAATCTATAACTTTTGTTTAAAATAAAATTGTAATGTTTTTATACTTAAAATTTTATAACGATTTGCTAATGGTTAATAAAATACATCTAAACCCATTTATAAAGTGACTATTTAGATTTAAGCACTTATGGAAAGCTATTAAGTTTTATTCCCTAATTTAACATTAGAAAAGTTTTTGTTAAAAAAATACTAAAAATTACCACTAAGACTCATCTCATTTATTTATGGTCATATTATGATACATATTGTTTTCTTAATTGATCTTAAAATGGGCTTAATGAATGCTAACAAAAAAAAGCAGAAAAAGAAGAAAAAAAAACAAACAAATTTTTCGTAATTACGAAGTCAAGAGCGCGTAAACCTTAGATACCCAAAAATTAGTTATTTCAAACACAAGACTCAATATAAAATTTAGTATAATAATTTTTTTTAAATATAATAAATAATAGACATTGCAAAGTGATAGATATATAAAAATATGGTATATAAATAATATACATAAGTATTAACTGATAAATACATTTGATTATATTTTACTAATGAACGTTTTTTTTTAAAAAAAAGGCAGAAAAAATATATTGATTTTAAAATAAAAATTTTTGGATTTGACAAATAAAATACCTAATTATTTCAAGCTAATAATTCAGTCAATTTTTTTAAATACCTCTTTTATCAAATCAAACGAGATGAAAAAATATCGATACTATAATGATAGTTAATTATAAAATCTTTACACTTCATAAATAGTTGTTCTTTTATTTTCAAGATGGCATACATTCAAAGATTCGTGGAAATAAAAGACGGAATGAAGCCGGGCGACAGTGGAGTATATCTTATCACGTTATCATCTAAAATATTGAGGGAAACGCTTACTGGAAATGCTCCCAATGTGTATTCACGACAATTTTTCCATTCCCATCATAAATGGTCAATAACTTTCTCTCTTAAACGGAGTCCTTTTGTGGATAACTATCAACAATACCTGACTTGTTATTTGACTTGGAGAAATACCAGCAATGAGCACCTGAGTTGCAGCTTGGATGCAAGTATAACTCTCATTCATCCATACCATTATTCGGAGGACATAAGAATGGATATCTCCCATTGCGAATTCAATAAGAGTAGACAATCCTACGGAACCAATAAATTTGTGAGTCTTGATCAATTAACCACATTTTTGCCTTCGACTTTTACCAATTTTGATTCCAATACCACGACTTATAACTCGGATAAGAAGATAATTAATAGCCCTAGCGAAAGCTTTGAGAGTAAAACGATGGAGAGCAGTTTTTTAGCGTCTGTTCCAAGTATTCCGGGTATAACCGATAATGACACTAATTTCCTGATTCAGGTTGAGATGAAGAATGTAAGAACTTTTTATGAACAAACATTAGATTTATTTAATTTCTTCTTTAATGAACCAAAATCGGCGGAAAAGGAGAAGAAACTTAAAAAAAATGCCTTAACTCATAAAAATTTAGAGGATTCATCTCTCTATAAATTATTGTTGGTAGAGACCCCGGATCATAAAACAACGTTTAAAGAAATAAAAGATGATAAAAATGATAAAAATTTGACAGAAATGTTCCTCGGTGGCAATATAAATACAGAAAATATTAGAGGCACTACCAATAACAAAAAAGATAATTTTAATGTTAATTACAAAGACATACAAATAATTAAGCCCATACCATGGGGCACTCTTACAGATGATGTGATCAGAAGGGAAAGCTCAAAGTATAGTTTTATGCACGGTCAACCTTCTACCAATAATGAAGGATCTTATTTTAATTTCGGAAAATTTGATTGGAATTTCAGTGTTGTACCAGAAATAGAATTAATTTCAGCGGATGGTTTTATGGAAACTATGTTAGTTCATAAAAACAAGGCAAATGATAACCCTCTATTTGGTGATGCAGTCGAAAAGACTAACGGGGAAGCTTTTCAAGGTAAAAATTATCCTTCTAAAAAAATATTTCCATCATTTTCAATGGGACAAAAAACGCATCAGCCCCTTAATTCAAATATATTAAATCAAACAATTGTAGAGAGTCCAATATCTAATCAAAAATGTAGTTCGTTACTTTTACCTGAAGGTTTGATCCTCGGAAGAAAAAAATTAGGTAAAGATAAATTGAAATTTTTTTACGTCCTCAAACGGTTTCGTTGTAAATTAAATCGTCACACGCATTTAGATCAAAAATGTCGCCTCAATTACAAAATATCCATTTGTCAATTTCCGAATATCGCTAAAAATATTAGTAAGTTGGGATTACAAAATAAAAACAATAATGTGATCGAAAGCAGTTTGTCCAAAATGAGCCTAAACATCCCTTCTATAATCACAGACCAAGATTCTCTTGAAGAATTTAGCACTGGGGAAGAAATTTTAAATGAAATTGACCTTCACGAAATAAGCAAAAACGCTCCAAAACTATCCTCGTCCAGTTTTATCTTTCCTAAAGTGAAAATACAAGGGGGTAAAATAGTAGATAAAAAGCCTAGTGAAATGTCTATAGCCGAATCTATACTTATGCTAACGAGAGGCAAGAGTGTAAAATCACTTAAGCCTAATGAAAAATGTGGCACATTAAGGGGAAGGTTAATGTCCAGCATTGGTTCATTGGTTAATAATCTTGAATCTAACGAAGATAGACAACCTTGCAATGCCAAAAAATGTAGCAAGGCATACAATTACGACAATCTAGCGAAGGCCCCCAACCTGGTCATTTCTAAACCTGACTGGCTTCTAAGATCTTACTGTGATCAAATAATAATGAATGGAGGTGAATTCCAGGGTTCACAGTTTTTCATGGATTTTGGTAGGAATTATGTGAACACTCATTTTATTTTCGATGAAGATCTATTACCTCGTAATTTATATTATATTTCTTCTCCGATTTACACTAATATCTGCGCTAAAAAGCGAGAATCAATTTGTTTGATATCAAATAGACAGCCTTTTCATGATGATATTAATAAATATAAAAATATGACAAAAATTACTGATTCCCCCAAAGATTTATTCCCCCAACGAGCCACAAGTTTTAGAAAAAGCTACTACCATATATTAAATTCATCGATAAATAAAACAAAAAGAAATCCGAGTCGAAATAGGAAAAGCATCGATGATGAGCAAAGTAACAATGACCAGGATAACAGAAGCAGAAGCTTAGAAGAAAATTTTGAAAAGCCTTCTACCATCTATATCCCCAAAAATCTGGAAGCACACAATAACGATCTAGAGGATATTAATAGTGGGGTTGATGACAAAGACTTACTAAATTACGATGGAATGCCACCAGATCTTGACTTTATAACAATGGATGATACTGTTTTGTTCAATAACACGACATTAAATTTGAAGATAGTCATCTATGTGGAGCTTATAAGCGTGCATTCTGTGACTCATCTAACACCTATGGTAGAATTGGGCAAATATACCCTAGAAAATTTCTACGATTCGGCTTCCCCTGACGATAACGAACAATCATCGTGGTGCTTGGAGGTAGGCAGCAAGTCGGGTTACCTTAATTTGTCCTTATATTATTCTGACATCATGAACATTTCCAGAAATTATCTAAAGTATGTGAGCTGGACAGTTACACTCTTAGCTAACCCAGCTAAATATTCTAAGAACATCAACCATGACTCTTCAGCCCCTCAATCTCCAAAAGAAGAGTTTATAGCTACGAATGAAAGCAGTCAAACTATCTCACCTAAGCGCAAAATGAATGGTACCTTATCACCAAAATCCATGTTTAATTCTTTTAGGACAAGACCCATGGATAAGGTAAATAAAATAGGTGCTGGAGGAGGTTTGAAATATTCATCCTTAAACTCTCAAATACCTTTTCCTTCTATCATGTCACCTTATTACGACGAAAAGAATCCCCCAGTGATAGTTAAAGATATCATAAAAACCAAACCATACTATGTCATCGACGAAAGTATACTCTATTCCACACCTCCTTCTCAAATATATTCCAAGTACTATGTTCAGCAGACTAGCAACAGTGACAAAGGAATAAACATGAAAACCCCTTTTCTTATAACTGAAGTAAAACTTGGCATATAACATTTATCATACTATTTGCATATATTTTTTACCACTGATTTTGTAAAAAATATGTTAATCTGCTCTGATATAGTAAAGATTTATTAAAACTAAACAAATTTTATTAAAGGATGCTATCGAAACTTAAATTTTTAATAGGGTTATAAGATTTTAAAATATATTATTAAAATTTTTGAGCCATATGCATTAATATGTAGCATATCTCCCTAAAAAATATATTATGCAACTATTTTTAGATTGTATAATTTCTATAATTATACTAACCTTGAATTTCTATAATCTTCAAAATTTATAATCAGTGGTGTAGCCAAGATTTATCTAATGAGGAGGGGGTTACGATTTGTGAGTTTCACCCCCAAATCCATATTTGGCCGGGTGGCACCTATGAAAAATGAAGTATAAATAATGTTTATATATTAATATGCATGAGTGCTTTTATCAATATAAAGAAAGAAATTATTAGCAACAAAATTTTGAGTCAACCTTACGTTTAAGAAGCAATTGAAAGTATTTATTCTGAAAATTTAATGTTTAGGGCTTAATTGTATATTATTTTTATCCGTTTGGCATTGGTGGACTAGACCCTACCTGGAAAAAAAAGTATTAGCACAATAGGAAAAATTGTCAAATTTATATCATGGTCAAAATTAGAAGTAAATATCTGGTTTGCGCTACTCCTCAATCAGTTTTGCGAACCAAAAAGAAAAATGAACACCATAATGCCACACTATAAGCTTGAAGTGAACCAAGCAGTTGGGCAACTTCTTAAAAAGTTTAAAAGTAACTTGTAACTTATAACCCATCATTCTTAATATAATTTTATATTATAGAAAATTTTTACAAATTTTAATCAAAAAAATTAAATGAAAATATGATTTAATTGAAGAAATAGTGCAATGAAAAACTATACTACATGATTATTTATTTGTAATGGAAATTGCACCGTAAAAAATATATAATTAATTTTAATATATATTTGCACCCAGAAGAAAAATATTAACGCAATATAATATATATTTTCCATAAAAATTTTAGCTTAACAATATTTATTTGAATTTTAACAATAATCTATTTCCAAAATTTGTGTGTTTAGATTCTAAATTAGGCCCATTCAATACGAATCGAATAATGTCTTATTCACGATTCATTTAGACGAAAAATATTAAAGTGAAACTTTTTTTCTATTTTTTCTTTTTTTGCCTAATTGAATAAATGATCTGCATCAATTTTTCAAGCCCGGCCCGAAATTTTTTTAAAAAAATTGTCTGGCCCGATCCCGAACAAAATTTTCTTATTTATCTAGAAAAGCCTGACCTGAAATAAAAATACAAATTATTTGTCCTCTCGACCCGGTCTGAATTTATTTAAATATAGAAAATTTTAATTCTTTTTTTTTATTAAAATAAATATTCCACAAATAAAAAATATTTGAGCCAAGTTTCTTGCTAGAATTTTAAAATATATCAATTTATTTAACTAAATGTAATGCCCGACCCGGCCCGAGGCTCGGACCGGATGCAGGTCGAGCCCTAATTTGTAGATCTCTAAATTGAATATCACAATTATAAAATGAATTTAAAATATGTTTACAAAAAATTAGGAAATGTGAAATATTTACCATTCATTCTCATATCAAATTTCGTAATAAATAAATAAACAATTAAATTATCAAAATTGTTACTGAATATTTAAATTTAATGCATAACATTAAAATAGAGAATAAAATATATATTATGAGGGGACCTTTTTTTAAAGGACGGGCTTAGATCTAAAATAATTTGCCACCGTATTCAGGAAATCTAGGACCATAATTTCAATTTTGGAGATATCTATGTTATATTGTCAACACTAGTGATATGACACCCACATTAGTTATATAAAAGGGGGCCATGGAAGAATCATTAGCATCCACTATGGATAAACCTTAAGATTCCATATTTTTATTTTTCAGATCATCATTTAGAATATAATGTTGATACAAATGTAAACATTTGAATTGACATAGATTTTTTATTTATAATTAGTTTCATTTTCCTTCAAGAATTTTGATAATTTATCTCAGTTAATTTTTTTTTCCAATTAATATTTTTTTTTCAAAACATATTTCTAAATGGTTTTTTTAAAGGTAGATCTCCCCTATTGGGAATTTATGTCCAAAATAAAATCTTTATTAAAATTCGAATATAACAGTATATTATAACTTTTTTTCAAAAATCTAACTTTTTTTTCAAAAATCTAACTTTTTTTTCAAAAATCAAAATGGTAAAATGAAATTAATGAAAGTTTATAAAAAAAAATTTCTAATGTTTTCATATTAAAATATAGATATAAACAATTTTTCAAATTATATTTTTATTACAAACCAAAATGCCCCCTCTCCTCCTTTTCCCATATATAGTAGCCCTCCATAAATTGATAATTCATCTGAGGTTAGGTTTGATCTACATAGATATTGGGTCAATATAGAATTTTTTCAAGCGTATTAAATATGAGAGCTCTTAACCTGATGGAGTTAATACAAAGAGGAGTCACCATAATGAGGAATTAAATTTTAAGGTATTTTCTTATCTTCTTTGATTCTGAATCAGCATTCCTTAAACTGAAAAATATGATTTTTTCAAATCTACAAAAATATGATATTATTATCATTATATTCTACTAAAATAATGATACCCCTCCTCCTTCCTTCAAAATAAGAAAAATAATCAATATAATATTTGATATTTTGGGACATTTTTACAATACAAATTTTTTTTCGCAGTCAATGTGCTTTATTAGACATATAATTATTATTTTTATAGATGATTCATTTTCATATTTTTTTAATGGGTTAACGGAACATTATATAACATGATCGATTGTGAAAAAAGTACGGAAGTTTTTTGTTGCATTTAGAAGTAAATAAAATATTTTTTTATATACTATTGAATCGAGAGGGAAGGGTTCCATGTCAATTCGGCGAAACTTTTATCGCGAAACACTTTTTTGCGAAACTTTTATCGTGAATGAATTTTATAGCGAAACTTTTATCGCGAATCCACATTAGCGAATACTTTTCCGCGAAGACAATATAGCGAAACAAATATCGCGAATTTTTTTATAGCGAAACTCTTATTGTGGAAACCTTTAAAGCGAATACATTAGAGCGAAATTTTTATCGCGTATCAATAATCGCGAAAATTTTATAGCGAAGTCAATATCGCGAAACATAAATCGCGAAGACAATATAGCGAAAACTATTTCGCAAAATATAACGCGGCCTATTATTTTATTTATATTTGATGTTAATATTTTATTTATCAACAAATAAACATATTATATGATATATATTTTTTATTTATATTAATTATGAAATAAAAAATGGATTTCTTTTATTTGATATTTTTTTAATAAAAAAAATGATATGCTACTATTGTAATATTATTTTTGTTACAATTTATTATGATTTTACACGCCCAAAATTTTAAGCAAAAAATAATTTTTAAAGTTCAAAAAGATTTTTAAACATATTTTGATAAAAATTTTAAATCTTTTTTGAGGAATTCTTTTGTGATTTTTATTATAAATAAACAATCTTTTAGGTGAAATCTTTTATAGATTTTTTTATCATTTTTGTAAAATTATCAATTTTTAAATATGAGGTGGGTTTTCTAAATAATATTTTTTAAAAATATTTTTATTTAACTTATTTATATATATGATCTTTTTAAGGAAAATAATTTAATCTGACAATTTTTATATTCGTTATTGAAGATGTTCCTTGGAAAAATGACAATTATCATAATCGGTACTTTTAAACATATTAGATTTTATTATGGTAAAATATGTATTTCTAACATGTTAAATTAAAATTTTAATTAAGATGCACCATATAAAAGTGACAATTATCTTAATCGTTATTTTTAAAGTTTTTTAAATTTTTTTGACGTAAATCGGTTAAAATAAGTTTTGTTAACATGTATTAATAAAACTTCAGTGAAGATGTACCCTAGATAAGTGACAATTGTCATAATCCTTATTTTTAAAGTTTTTTGAATTTTTTTGATACAAATGGGTAAAAATATAAATTGTAAACTTGTTAAATTAAAATTTCATGAAGATGTACCACAGAAAAGTGACAATTGTAATAATCGTTATTTTTAAACTTTTTTTTGACGTATATAGGCCAAAATAAGTATTGATATGATAACATGTTTAAATAAAACTTCAGTGAAGATGTACCCTAGATAAGTGACAATTGTCATAATCTTTATTTTTAAAGTTTTTTGAATATTTTTGAAGCAAATGGGCAAAAAATAGAAATTGCTAACATGTTAAAATAAAATATCAATGAAGATGTACCATAGATAAGTAACAATTGTCATAACCGTTGTTTCTAAAGTTTTTAAAAATTTTTTGATACAAAAGATAAAAATATATATTGTAAAAATGTCAAATTAAAATTTCATGAAGATGTACCATAAATTGTCATAATCGTTATTTTTAAATTTTTTAAAATTTTTTTGAAGCAAATGGGCTAAGATATAAATTTCTAACATGTTAAAATAATATTTCAGTGAAAATGTACCCTAGATAAGTGACAATAGTCATAATCGTTATTTTTAAAGTTTTTGAATTGTTTGACGCAATTGGACAAAAATGTAAATTGTTAACATTTTAAAATAAAATTTCAGTCGAAACAAAAAAAACAAATCGATATTTTCATTCTCATAATCGTTGCTCCTTGTATCCTGCTTAAAATTTGATTAAAATATGCAAAGTGATTTTTAAAGATAGTTGTAACCTATGTTAAATTCTAAATTTTTAAGATATGAATTCACAATCTTATTCCTTTAATTAATAAATTTTAATTCTACATTATAAAAATGTATAACTTTGCTATCACAGTTAACAAATATTTTTGTATACTAGTGGCAAAATAGTGCTGAGTCTGAATTCAGGGTAGGATTTTTATAGAAAGAACTAAAAACCATATGAATATT